TTTGGTCCGAGACGATCAACAACTAAGCCGTCTACAACAACAGCTTCAACTACAACGTCGACTGCATCTGACAACAACTCTGACCAAGCCAGATCATTCCCAAGAACTCGTTCCTACTGTTGGTTTTAGTCACGAGACGATCAACAACAAAATCTTCTACAGCAACAAAGTCCACTCCATCCACATCAACAGCTTCGACCAAAGAATTTCTCCCTCTGTAACCACTCGTTCAACGACAGCCGACCAGTTCCATCGAATCAAACGGCTAAATCAACAAAGAGCGGATCAACAGCAAAACTGTCTCCAACTACTATTCCAAGAGCTGCTTCATCAACACGATCAACAACAGTCAAACCAATCACAACTCCCCGATCAACAACAGTCAAACCAGCCCCAACTACCCGATCAACAACCCGGTGTCTACAGCTAGATTAACTACATACAAAAACAACAACCATCAAACCAACTACATCTCGCCAATTCCCAACAAAGTCAACACAAATGACTCAATCAACTGGAAAGCCAATGAATAACAGGACAACTGTGACTCAATTGATCACTAATGGAGCCACAAGCAAGAAGCCGACTGGAAATGACAACTGGCAAATCCGTAGGCTCTTCAACAAGACAAACCAGACATGACCCAATCACCGCCAATAAGAGCCACAACCAAGCCAACAACTGGTCGAACAACCATGAAAATCGCCACTACAACCCGAAAACCGACAACAACCAGATACACTTCCAGAGGAAACGACCACAACTAAACCAAACTCTTCAACAACCACTAAGGCCCTTCCCCATCAACCCAATCCACCAAAAACGACAACAGTTTGAATTTAAAGATTCAATCCAATTTTGTCTGTATGTGCTGCTTTGAATTTTCGTGCTTATTTCATTGCCAATAAAATTTTATCGAATAAAGATTGAAATCACCTTGAGTGACTCGCATAATAGCTATATGTTTTCAGCCTTTGAAAGCAGCTCCGAATTTCCAGAGAAAACAACAACTTTATTTCGTAAACATTGAAGTGTTTGGCTGTTCGAGACGGCAATTCTTCTCACATTTCCATATCGATTGAATATAAGAGATTGATCTAAGGAAGGAGTCTTTTATGAAGAGATGAAAAGCGACGATAGAGAAGCGATTTATCTGTTGGAAATGCAAAAACACGAGTCCGATGGATATTTGTTCAGGATTTTGCGTAGTATCGAACACGTGTGGCTTCTTAAATGAATCAAAGTTTGAATTGTGTTCTCATTTGCATTATTTAAGTGATTTTGTAAGGAAATAAAACTGCGATGTCACAAAAACAAAATTATGAATTAGCCGTAGTCTCGAAACCGAATTAAAAATTAAAACTATTTATTATTTCATTGTATTTTCTGCTCTTATGGAAAAACTTATTAAAAGTTTGGCATCATTTTCATGCCTTTGCCTGAATTTGTTGATAACTGTGGTCGTTTGTCGAGCGTGAGCACGTCGTCAGCTAGTTCGCATCAATAAATGTAAAGTAACCAATCTAAAACACAATAGCTAAATTCCCCAAAAGTTCAATAATCTCATAGCAATAAGAAATTGACCAATTAGAAGCTCTTCAAGTACTCACCCAGCCTTTTGCCTGGGACCAAAGTCAACGCGTAGAAGGCCAGCATAGAAATTTATCCATGTAGCAAGGATGAATTGATTGATTAGAAATAAAAAGATCTCTGAACAATGGCTCAACAAAATAATAGACGAACAGTGGCAAATTTTAGAATGAGCATCTGAAATTTTAATCTAACAAACTATTTGGGAATGTCACCTGAAAAATGAGATGATTCTCTGTTTTCTGGTGGTGACATCCTACTGAACGCCACAGCCCCCAGAAAAGATTCTGGTTTTTAAAACAAAAAGTTTGTAAACGTTTGAGTCTTTTAATAAAGACGACGGCTTTAGATAAGTGCAATTGACGTTGAGATAAACATGCACATGAATTTTGTTTTTAACGTCTGTCCGAGGCGTCAGCCGCCTCCAAAACCGAAGAAACAGACTCTGAGCAAGCCTCGACCGCAAGGCGACGCCTTATAGCAAGATCCAGTCCATTTGTGCCGTCAACCATCCCGGAAAACAATCGAACCGGGGATATATCAATCGCATGAAGCGCCCGGGCCAGAATAGTTTCAGCTGAGAAAGCCCCAAGCCCGCCAACCCTCCTGGCGCTCAAAGAATAGTCCATCCAAAGCTGATTGCCACGAACGACTGATCGCGCCCGCTTCAGAAAAATTGTTTGGGGGAAACCAGATCCAGACCAGCAGTTGGTACTTTTAGAGTATACAGACCAAGAACATGGACTGCACAAAAGACAAGAACAGAGCAGTAAACCATCGTAGAAACGCGCACACTATACCTTTGTGAGTTTTCTTACTCAAGTAGCTGAGTCAACTATAGCCTTTTCCACGATGTTAAACTTAGGTCAACTCCAGTGTCCCATGCTTTGAGATATAATTGTTTTTCCCAGATTTGTAGTCCTTGTTCCATTTGACGAGGCTACAAACAGCTATAAATTCCTGGCTCTCGAATTAAAAATGATGGATTGACTTGATTTTTGTGTCATTCGGAAAGCCCTAAAGCTGACCTCACCCTTTGGTAAGAAGAGTTTTCAGTATCATCTATTGTCAGCGTTTCTACAAGGGTTTGTAGTCAGATCTTGTAGTTTGTAGCGCCCATGTCTACTTTTACACGATTTTTCTCTTACCCCGCTTCACAGCACAGTCGAACCACCTTGCAAACGGATAAATAAACGAAAAGTTTGACTCCATTTGAATACTAAAACAATGGCAGCTGAATGTTTTCGAATTCATTCAAGCCAGTGAATGCAAATAAATGGCCGCCGAAGCTAGAGACAAGCACCAGACCAACGGTGTCGACGAGAATGAAATAGGAGAACAACTCGTGAGAAGATTCCCCATGATCTCCACAACCAAAACAGGGAAATCGCTTGAATGATGACAGAAGAGATAGATGTCTTGAACTGGAAAAACGATCAGAGAATTTTTACGATAAGCAATAAAAATGAACCCGTTCAGCCCAACGATATGTACGCTTACTCATAGCTGATACCAATTTTATGCAAATTGAAATTTTCAGCCATACGTCATAACAATTGCATTAGAATGTAACATTGGTAATCGATGTCATGTCTACTTTTAAACATCCATCGTTTCTATCCTTTTCATGACTCAAAAGCCATAGCTTTAATAATTTATTCTTGACCCTTAATCAAGCATTGTTGCAAAAAGTAAGCTTCTAACACTCAATTTTTGATTTTTGAAACTTGAAACTAGCTTAAATTCAGTGAACAAACCGCCATACTGACGATAAAATAATAACTGAGTTGAAGCGCTTTTCTCATTGAATTGCGCTTTACCGTAACTTTCCGCTATTTCCTCCGCTGCATAGTGTGTATTCAAGAAGTTCGCGAAAAAGAAAAAAGGCTAAACTGAATAATATTTTAAGATTTAAGAAACATTAACTTACAATAAATCAATAACGTTGTAAAGATTGGGTAACAGTTATTTCCATGGAAATATCTACATTTGAGAACATTCTCATTCTGGACTGATTTGTGGGAAAATTTTGAGCCGAATCTGGCTCGAATTCCCAAGTGACTAGCAATTTGAAGTATAATGTGATTTTTTGGTTTTCTTGAAAACAAAATCATTAGAACCGTTTAATGAAATCTTTTGTTAACAAATCCCAAGCGATTCCTTATTTTAAAAACTTTGGCGATTTTGTAAACCGGTGAAAGTTTAATCATTGCTTTTTCTTGTTAAAATAAAATTTGCTTGCATAGACTTGCTTTGAGTTAGAGAAAAGCATCGATCAATCGCAGCAAAGTATTTTCGTGAGCCAAGATTGCCATGTGAACAGCATCAACCCAAGCAATTCATCTTAAAAACAAAGTCAAGGCAACTATTGTAACGACATATACCTGAACAAGCAAATCAATCGCACATTCAAATTGTCCACTCAAACAAAGAGCTGAAAAATAGAGTGGTGCTTCGTTCATTCCATCGGCCATAAAATGAGCTTTTCCTAAAAAATTCGGAAAACATGGGGCCAAAAGCACCAATAAACCATAATCCAATGAAATTGTTTTTCGAAGATCCGTGTACAAAGCTTCGATCATCGATGGATCCTCAGCGAAGCGGAATGAACAAAAGCCTAATTGAAGGAGGCCCTCCAAAATAAATAGTACTTTTGAACCATATCCAATTTTCCATTGTATTGGTGATCGGCGCTTCAACACCAAGTAAAGCACAGTACACCGATCTAAATTCTTTAATACCTTATTGTTTGAAAATTTAATATCTTATTTAACCCACTGCCTGAAGAGATCCCTGACCGAATTTTGCTCGTGTCTCCATCGGACCTCTTTAGCTTGTCTTTGTGTTCTTTCTGTCAATCTAAACATTAATGCATCCAACGCAAAACAAATGATTCATACTCTTGGAATTGCCCTTCAAATACACAAGAGCCTTGTAAAGAACATTGGTTCGTTGATTAGTCGCAACTTTCTGAAATCGACAAGCGATTGAGCGTACCAACATACTAAACAATACATCTAAAGCATCACTTGCAGCAGCCAGATCACCACTTCGGAAGCACGGGTAGATTACTTGCCACACAGGACAACCATCACCGAGACAGCCATCCTCAACGTCAGAAGTGATATTTCAAAATCTCTGAATAATGTTAATATTTAATATGCATTGGTTATAACCAACCCTTGATATATCCCGCAGCCAACGCTCAAAAGTTCCAGGGATCCCCTCCGTCAAGCTTGCTCCAAATTTTGGTCGACATCTTTGCATATGATCGACGAAACTAAATTGAACCATCAACTTCAACATTAAATTGCCTTCCAACCTCAATAAAAAATAGTTGGTGGCTCTGGTGGTCAGCTCCCATGATGATGGGCACGTCTCCTGAAGTAGTCCGCATCGGGCTCCGATCATTGCTGCCATTTGAGCCCACACATATCGGCAACCACTGGATCACTGCTTCGTTCAGCGATTGAGAAAGATCCTAAAACAACTTTTATCATACTATTTCCTTCAAAATCACAACTCTTCTTTTATCGCTTCGCAAATAACCTCGGAAACGATCTGGCAAATATGACTGCCCGTCGATCACCAAGTCGAGTGACCCGTCACAGAAGCAGGTAGTGGTTGCATAGGGGTAGAAGGCAGATTTGTTCCAAAACTCTAAACAGAATAGTTTTATGACGCTAAAGACAACCTAAATTACCGATTCAGGACGAACACTATGAAATGATGGATGGGGCCGGTTGAGACGCACCTGGAACTTAAAGATTTAGTTATATAATTCAACATACCTGATTGAAAAAAGCCCCCCAGCTTCAAGACGCACTGGATCTGTTAAGTCATTTATCGCCTGGGGGTCTAATCAGAATTATTGATAACCGGATCTTAGCAAGTTATTCTTACCATCGGGCACCACGATTCTTTCCACGGCAGCAGCTTGTGAAATGTTTGGAGCTCCGCCAAAGATGATCCCATGTTTCCCAAACAGATAGCTTCTCTAAAAAACAATTATTGAAAGGTACTTCTTAAATATTTACTTGTGCACGAGCTTCACCAGGAAATTTTTTCCTGACAAGATTTTCGCTGGCTCTGAAGACCTCCGGCAAATCAATTCCTAGCTGTTTATCAACAGCTAAATAGATGAAAGTTTTATCCGCATGTCGAATAATAGTCAAATTAGAGGGGCAACAATCGGTACCAATCACGTTAGGGGGTTTTCCTGTTCTTGCTTTTTCTGTGGGTAATTGATAATCGAGAATCGAGAATGCCCCAAATGACTCAAATGAATGCGCCGCAGAGCTCTTTTTGGCTGTGGGACACTCCACAGACATCTCCATCGATACTCCAACACCGACCTTCGCACGTTTACTTTAGGACTTTATTGAAGGGTTTTGTTTGGAAATCGTCTCCAAAAAAAATTCATAGCTCATTCAATTCTTTGACGGCCTAGATAACAAATAAACTTTTATTCAAGTGAACAGTTTAGAATTGATTTGGAAAGACAAACATTGGTTGAAATACGTTAATTTATAACACAAGCCAACTATTTTTTGACATATTATTTTTCTGAATGATGATGAAGAATGACCATGACGAAATTTAAATCAAACTCAAACAAACCAAAATAAAAAGATGAAAAGACCTTGTTTAAATTACTATTAAATTAAAATTATTCTGCTTAAGCCCAATCCACCAAGTTTGATTCGACCGTGCGCCCAAATCCACGAACACATCGACCTCGGCGAGATCCACAAACGGGCTCGCAGCAACTCTGCGTCTTCCATTACGCAGCTTAAACACACGTTGATTGTTTTTGTTGGGTGGATTCTAAAGTACAACAATCATAAGCTTTAAATTTAAAAATCAGATCTCATCAATTCTATAGAATAACTACAATCAGAAGAAAACTCACCTGTAACATTACATTATGCATGAGATAAGTTAATCTTCCCGCTGCTCGGCGGCCGCAGTCTTCCGGCGCCAATTCATACGTGCGATTCACACCCGGCATATAGGCAAATCGGTAGTGGGTGTCGCTTGGCGTATGAGTGATCTCGAAATATCCGGCACTGCCGCCAGGGAAGGAAAAGCCGAGAGGGAGGACGTTATCTTCGACAAACATCAAGATTGGACGAGGCCGATCCACCTAAAGGAAGAAATAAAAAATAAATCACCATTAAAAAAGAAAATAAGCAATATTTCAGTCAACTGTTGCTGTGGTGTGCACTTTATAAGTTCTCGCAATGTTTCATTTCAATCAGCTCATGACAATATAAGAATAATAGGAGATTTATAAACTGACCTTTTTTGCTTTAGCTTGCCAAACAAGATATTCGATTTCCTCGTCAATTTCATCCTCGTATTCCGAACCACATGACGTATTAGCCGATAAATTGTCTTCGTCAACACGTACCTAAAATTGATTTCTTGAATTCTCGTCACCTCGTAAAAATTCATACCTAAAATCTCAACTTCACGAATTAAATAAACACACAAGCTAAGAACTTTCACTCGTAAAAAACTTTAAAACCGAACCTGCTGATAGCCAGCAATACTTGCAAGTTTCTCGACAAATCGACCCAATATCAGCACATCTTCAAATCCAGCTCTGGACATTTTACAAGCATTCCATGCGAAATATCTTGATTGCAGTTAATCAAAAGTTTATAATGATGATATTATTTCTTTAGTATCTTTATTTAACCTAGATCATGAAAAAGATTTGCAGCTTAAGCATAATTCCTCTAGTATGGTATTATATCCTAGTATAAAATAAATCATCTACTCTATATAGAAATTGAATTATGAAATAATGAAATAAAAAGAGACCTTCAGCAACATTTCCGGCAACAGGATCTTCATGTTGCCCCAAGCCTCGACCGAGAATTTTTTTTTTCCGTTGATCGGGTCCCAAGGCGGAAAGCCCTTTGGCCATAGACCACGTCCAAATGATCCGGTTCCACCGTGAAAGAATCAAAATCCTTTGAGAAACGCAATTGAGGTGTCATTACGTCGCAACTAAAGAATGAAAGTTAAGACGAAAACCAAAGAAAAAACATAATAACAGGCCAATGAAAAACAAAAACGATCAACGAAACCATGAAAACATAAAAATTTAATCTATTCAGCTGGGATCTCGATGTCGCCATTGTTGATGGAGTCGATGACGTCGTGTTGCGCGTCCATCAATGGTGCAGCTGACCGATTGAGCGGCTCCGAGGATGTCCTTCACCGTTCTCTTCAACTTCTTTGCCATTGAACGACTGCGCATGGTCCTCGCGATTTTGATGATGGTGTCGATGGTGAGATCGCCGTTGTTTCTGTCGCGAACTGGCTCCTTGAGTTCCTTGATGATGAGAGACGCAGCCGATGGCATCACATCGATCTTGGCGTTTCCGTTTTGGATGGTGAGCTTGCAGGTGACCTTCAATCCCTTCCAGTCTTGCGTTGCCTTCGCAATCTCGTCTCCGACTTTCTTTGGCGACTAAAATAAAAAATATTAATTTAGTTTATAAAAAAGACGCTCGAGTAGGGAAGGGGAAGGGGGCAGTCTGGAACTTGACCCAAAACCAATATTTTTCCACGAAAACTTGCACAAAGTTTTTGATTATGCTGAATTGATTTGGCCTTCTATTCTCCTAGAAATTATATTAGGCGCCTATGTTCCTAGGCTTTCGCTCCGCACCTCCGAGTCCTGACTGGCCACGGGCTAAGTCCGATTCTCCTAGCTTCGGCCTTCTTATTCTCTTCTAGATCTTTAGATCAATAGAAGACCGAATCAATTCAGCATAAGCAAAAAATCTTGTGTGCAAGTTTTCGTAGAAAACATTTTGGGTCAAGTTCCAGTTTCACGTATTAACAATTCAAAATAACAAAATAAGTAACCCTTCTAGCGAGCCAGTCAACTAGTTACGCGACTTATGCTATGACAAACATCAAAGTTTGAAGACAAAGGAACTCACCAATCCAAAGGGCCGAACTTTGGGTGCGAGAGCTGATATGGGTCCGACTTCTCCACCCACACCGCGCAAGT